AAATACATAAATATAAAATTAACTCATAAAAAACTTAAGTTAAATTAAAGAAATAAAGCAAAATAAAAACACGAAAATAATTCCATTCATTTTTACGGTCGTCCAATTCTAGTCACACTTCGCTTCCAAGATGTATGACGCGTCAACGTGATCGGAAGCATGCTGTTACTTTTTTTAATTTTTTGAGGCGCCACGCAATCATTGCGAATTCGCAAAGCTTTGACGACAATGCGACTGTAAGTACCTACTCAGGAAATGTCTGTGTGTGAATGTTGTTGTCGACGCTGGCATTCCACTCTAACGCCCCTCGGTCATGCAACCGCTTCTTCAAACAAAGCACTGCGAAAGAAAAGGGTGCGAAAAGAGTACTTGGTAGAGAACTTTGAAGGGCCCAAATGACTGGCTAGCTATATACATACATACATACATACTATGTATGTACACACACACGTACCCTCGTGTATGCATATGACTGACGAGGCGATTGGGGTTAAGTAAGTCACATATTAGCATAAAATATAATACTTTATTTGCAAGTATAGTTCTGAAATGCGATAAGTATATTCCCATTTTCTATACACTTATAGCTGTTATAGCTTTCCCCTCGTTTGAGACTTTAATACGCGCACTTTGGTGCACGCTTATGCATAATAATAAACAAGAAATGCAAGTGGAAATGTAATTATGTAAAAAAACGAAAATCGATAAAATAGGGTAACTATGCGCAGCAGTGAAACGTGAAACGAGTACCATTAAATCGGTTGAGTGTCAGCTATTAATCTGAATGGCTCTAATGGTATGTCAAGGATACATTATAATTGTGCAGCAAAAATATATTCTATCCATATCACGCACGAATCAGTGATTTCGCATATGATTATTCAAATATAAGTTCTCCTTTTTATTAGTAATATCATAGACATAATTTTGAGATGAATTTAAATATTTTGACTTTTGATATTTGAAGCAAAATTAAAGTAAAACATTTCCCTGATATAACCGATCCTCAAATGGTTCATGATTTTTTTATGGTTTTCGGAGACTGTTTTCGCAATAATTTTTTGCAGCCTTTTTTTTGATTACGATTTGCGGGGAATTTCAGTTTACATGGAAAAGCTTTTTTGCTTCACTAATTACATTATGATTTAAAAAAAATTTAAGTTGAAATGTCTCACCCGTCCTCGTGGAATGACCCGTATGCAGTTTTGAAGCTCATTCAATTGTAGTATAATAAAGTTTCAAATGGCTAAAAATTACTATTGATTTTTTAGAATTTTCTATGTCGTATTTGCTTTCATATAACGAATATACTAGCCGGCCTCATATACCCAACGCTTCGCCAGGCGCTGAATGTGTACATAAGTATCGGCGTAGCCAGAATGAAATTTAGGGGAGGGGCTCGACCCTATTAAGCTGGCATTTCAGGGTACTATTTTATATATACATATAAGGAAAATTTGAAAGTTAGGGGGGGCGGGCTCGAGCACCCCCCCTGCCCCTACCTGGCTACGCCCATGTACATATACGCAACAGGTGGCAAGCCTATTAAAAAATAAAGCCTTATTGCACATCTAATCGCTAAGCCCTTTCATTTGACATATGGTTTTAATGCAACGAACGGTGTGGATCTTATAATTTTTTATGCAGGTGGCAACTCTATTCAAAAAAATAAAACCTTATTGCACATCTGGAAGCCAAGTCCTCTCATTTAACGACTCACTATTTAGTCCATCGAATAGTCCACATCTTATAATTTTTCGTACAGGAGGCAACCCTCTTCGAAAATGTAAAACCTTATTGCACATCTGAACGCCAAGCCTTTTCCTTTAAGACATATTTTTTTTCAAATGAATGAACTGCGCAAATCTGATGTAATTAAAAAAAATGCCCTCACGTATTATATGTAAGGTGGTAATTTTTAAAAAGGTGGCAACCCCACTAAAAAAACTAAAGCTTATTGCACATCTGAAGATCATATCCTTTAAATTTTTTTTAAATTGAATGAACTGCGAAAATCTGATGTATCTAGGTAATAAAAGTATGGTTATTTTTAAATAGGTGGCAACCCCACTCAAAAAAAATTGATGCTTTTTGCGAATTCGGAGACCATGTCCTTTCATTTGGTACCTCATTTTTTAGTCCAACGAACGGTGAAGATATTATAATTTAAAATAAAGTGGCAACCCTAATCAAAACATAACACAATATTGAACATCTAGAGCAGTAATGGGCATTTCATATCATGCGTGTAGCTCAACTGTACGTTTTTCACAGGTATATGCTCACACATTATATTGCCGAACAAAAAAGAAATTCAACCAAACAACCAGTCTGGATAAGCTGTCGCCGAGGCATGTTGCGTTGTTTGCACGCTTCTTAGCGCGCAGTTTTTGTCAAAAATTAGGTGTTGTGCTTACGCGTTTTAACTGAAGTACCCCTATCGATACAGAATATATACAACAAAATCTCATCCAAATCCGTTCAGTAGTTTTCGATATTAGGGTGTAAAAAAATCTTGGCTTTGCTTTATACTACGTAAGGATAAGATAGCAATTTTAAATAGGTGGCAACCCCAATCAAAAATATTAAAGTTTTTGTACATGCGTAGGCTCTGCCCTTTCATTTGGTATCTCATTTTGCTATCCAACCAACAGTGAAGATCTTTAATTTTTACACAAATGGCAACCCTACTCAAAAAAATAATAAATTTTTGCACATCAAGAGGCTAAGTATATTTGTTTGATGGTGATTGTGCAGAACTGATACCTTCGCTTATTAAGATTGAATAAAGTAACGCAACGCAAACGTCAAAGCTGTGAAGCTGTGTTTTTTTTGTGATCTGTTTAGATTTTGTGTTTTATAAAGCTGTTTATGCTTAATAAAGTAAAAAAAGTGTTAATAAACTTCTGGTGCACAATTTAAAGATAAAAAAATATCAAAATTCCCTGTAAATGTGATTAACTTAACTTGATATTCCTAATTGCATGAGCCGAGTATCTTGTTTCATTGTTGTTATACAATTGCTTTTGTTTGTGCACATTGATTTTGCTCTTTTTGTCATTTCTGCTGTTTCATCTTTGTCACAGCTGTTTGCGTTGTGTTTATTAGGTGTCAGATATACAGTGTATTTAAAACTGTACGTTACATAGCTTTCCAACTGATATTTACCAGCTGATTGGTTCTCTGATTGATACATCTTTTTCGAAACTGTTCTGCTTTTTTGCTTCTAAAACCTAAAAATAAATATAATTTTAAACATGTCGTGTATTTCCACCAATTGCCACGTTAAAAGCGACTCCTATGTATCATGCTGGCTCTGCGAAGAGATTGCCCATATAAAATGTGGTGGTTTGAGCGGTAGGGTGTTAGACGCTATTAAATATTTATGCTTATCTAGAGGCCAATCCCTTTCATTTGGCACCTCATTTTTTGTAATCCAGCGAACGGTGAAGATCTTATAGTTTTAAACAGGTGGCAATCTTACCCAGAAAAATAATACATTATTACACATCTAGAGGTTAAGTCTTTTCATTTGACAGTGACGGTGCAGAACTGACGCCTACGCTTTTTAGGATTGAATATAGTAATTTTCATAACAGGTGGCAACCCTATTCAAAAAATAAGACATTAGTGCTTTTCTAGAGGCCAATCGCATTCATTTGACTCCTCACTTTTTGTAATCCAACGAACGATGCGGATCTTATAGTTTTTTAGAAAGTTTGTTGATTTTGTTTAAATATTGCACAAAGTTTAAACTTGTATTTAAACGGGTTTTCTTAAAGAACGAACTATATTTTTATAAAGGTAACTCAAATTAAATAAAAAAAATATAATTATTATGAAAACTTGTCAAAATTTGGTGCGGCTAATTTTTTTTCGACCGCTGTATGTACATAATGTAAATATTACATGTACATTTTGTATTCTTTATTTGTTAACAAACTTAATAAAAGTTTGGTTTGGTTTATGAATACATAGATGAATTTTATATACTTAAAAATAAAATAAACAGAAATACCAGCAATATATCAAAATACATAAGTACATTTTTTTAAATAAGGAGATATCTATAGGGTGGGAATTTTATGAAATTTCGGGCAAAATCGGGGAATTTCATTGTCGAAATCGGGGAATTCTCAAAAATAAGTTGGCTACCCAGCTGCAGGCCATTATGATAGCGCACCCCTTTGTCGACATTGTTTTATCTATATATGTACAATCGGATTTACACCTAGAATATGATATATTTTTATAAAAAGTTTATGAATATTAAATGTACAAAAGGAAAACTGTAAATATTAAGGATCAAAAGGGTGCGCTGTTCAAATGACGAAGAGTGTAAAATACATATTTGCGTTAAAAATTCGTTGTAACTCAAATCAAAACTCTCTAGTGGTTGTCCAGCTTATATGTTTGCTAATATGTATGTATGTTTAAATCTCTACTACCAGCAGTTGTATGTATAGTAATATACATATGTACATACATATATAGGTGTTTTTGGTGAACGTCTCTAACGCAAATAACTTGAAAATCTGAATCACTGAAATCAGCGTACCCGTATTATATTAACCAAATTTGCCCCATAAATATTTAAAAAAAAAGTTCCCGATTCGAGCACTATTTTAAGGTTTCGCGGATTTACCACGATCGATTTATTATTTTCGTACCAGATGGGCTGACAAAAATGTCGCGTCTTCATAAGAATTGCAAAATATTTCTGATATTAAGATATTTTTCATTCACGAAAATTTTACACTTCTGTTCTGTTACTGCAACCTTTCATATTCTCAAGTTACCACTTCTACTACATAACTCAACATCGCATTAACTGTATTTATCCATTAAATGCCATTCATGTCTCTCTCAGTTCAAATACACCAGTGCATAGGAGTAGGTACATATTTACATCCAATAGATTGTGTTTACACACTATTCGATTAGATATACATATTGCAATACAAAGAATAAACAAACACAAATGCATCAACATGTCCTACCTTCACGCATCTCCTTGTAAGGATCATCGACATGCGACTCCTTGTAGATGATAGAATGAAAACCAATATTCCGATTGCCGTCAGTTTGTCCATTTTTATCATTTCCGCCGGACGTTGTAAATGTTTTCAGCGTCGTTTCCCTCGATGTTGTTGTTGTTGTCGGTGATGCTGTTGTTGAGCTCATCGTCGTTGTCATTGATGTTGATGATGATGTGCTGCTTGTCGAAGTTGTTGCTGTATATTGTTCAGCAACGCGTCGTTGTGCCAGTGGCATTTGTGTACCATTCGTACTTAATGCTGCTGCCGTAGCTACTGTTGTTGTTGGCGGGAAATAACGTTTGGCATGTTCAACATAATAGGCATCACGTTCAGTTATTATTTTACCCTCGAATACCCCATCCAAAATAGAACCAAATACATAACTATTACGATCCCCTATCACTTCGCCCTCGTAAATGTGATCGGTGGACACATCCAAGGGGAGATTGTTGCTATCATAAAACTAGAAAGGGGAAGGAAAAAAGAGTGAAATGAATATAAATGGTAGACATTTTATACTTGAAATTAAATATTTTACCAAAAGAACATAACATTACATATGTATATACTCATATACCCAGCAACACAAAGTTTGAAACGTTTGACAAAAATTTATTTCCCAATTTGATATCAAATGTTTTTCTCAAATTGAAAAGCGGTTTAGATACTACATGAAATCATTTTAGATTGATTTGGAGAAATATAGTTTCGTAATAATGATCGAAAAATGTTTCCTAAGAATTGTACATCTCTATAACACTATGCGCCAAAATCAAATTGGTTGACTCGGTATTGAGCAAAACCAAATGCAAGTGATAGTTTTAGGGCCAAATTCACAGTGCGTAGTTAACTCAGAATTGGCAGTTAACTACAGACTTTCAGTACAGCTAACTCAGAATCGGCAGTTAACTACAGATTTTCAGTACAAAAACGATTTTTAAAATAAAAAAATGCAAAAAATAAGGAACAAAATACAATAAATAAATTAATTTCTGTTTAAAATATTTATTTCGGTGTTTGAAATCACATCCCGACTGATTTTTTTAATGAAGACAACTAATTTGAATATTTATTAAAGAAAACTGAACGAAATTCAATCAAATTAACCTGCAGTGCCATCTAGCGCAAAGCTAATAATAAACGAACATCAAAAAGGAACAGTCCAGCGCCTTCGTCTTGGTCTGCAGGCTGTATCGGAGATACATCTTCATCTTCATCATCATCATCATCATCATCTTCATCTTCATCTTCATCATCTTCATCTTCATCTTCATCTTCATCTTCATCTTCATCTTCATCTTCATC